ATTTATCGAGCATGCCTTAATTTTATTGATTTATGGAGCAAATTAAAAAAAAATCAAAAATGTTTTTTCAAGAGAAATTTTCTAGCAACTTATTTATTTTCTTGTGTAGATATGTTAACTAATCAAGTTTCTGCTAAATAAAAGTTTTATTGGTAATTGAGACAACTAACTAATTATCTGAGAAAAATGAGAAACAAAATCTTTGAAATTGGTTGTAACTGTCATATCTCACTTAATGATCACCATTCAATGCGTAAGAAAATTAATTAAATAGCAATGTAACGCTTTTGGCGGGAGATTCCGCTCCTCAGCAAAAAAACCCATTTTCCTCTCTTGTGACTTAGCCCTCGTTGTCGTTGATTAGTGCCTCTTCCAGCGGACAACCGACTGTCGGTGGACAGCTCTCCGGCGCGCGCCATCGATATCGTTTGTTGTGTTTTTCCCTTTGTCTCACGCGCCTAGGGTTGAGGATGGTGGCTTACGGCGAATTTCTTCGATTTGCGCTTGTTGGTCGCTGGAGACTCTGGGTGGCGAGGCTTGGTGGAGGGCAGCGACAGTGGTTGGCTGCGGCCCAAGTTTCTTGCTTGGTCATCTATTAGGAGATTCCTCTCTTTTTCTTCTGTCGGCGGCCTTGCTCCTTTCCTATTTTCTTGATTAGCAGGTGTCGGTACCGGTTCTCGGCTAGCTGGCTCTTGGTGGTGGAAGTGGGTGGGCTGGGTTTCATTTTCAGAGTCTGTGAGGGGTGCTCTGGTGGTGATGACTATGGTGGGATGACCAGGGCGTTGATGTCGATTTGTGGTCCCTTCTCTCCTGTTCTCTGGTGCTGAGTTCGGGGGAGGATCAATGTTACCGGAACTTGGCTAGTGGTGTTAGCCATTTTTCGGGACGATGGTTGGTGTGGGACGAGTCGACATCTTTTGGAGGTAGAGCGGGTCGACTCTTGGATTGACTTGAAGTGTGAGTCTTCGTCTTTGCTAGGCGTTCGATAACAGTGGCAGGCGTGGTTCTCGTGTCTTGAATCTCTTCGAGGAGTCGTTTATTGTCCTCTTGTTCAGATCGGGTGTTTTGCCGGGGGAGGGCGTGTTTTTATTAGATGTAGTTTAATTGTTTGGTCTGTGTTTATGTTATTGTTTTTTAGGATTGTGTTTATGGTCTGGGCTGTTGGCCTCTCTGCATCCGAGTGTCACTTTATTATCCTAGTGGGATCCGACACTCGGATATTACCCCGTTGGGGCCTTTTTAGTTGTTTTAGTTGTTGGAGTAGTTGATTAGTTTAGTTGCGAGTTAGCATTGCTAGCCGGGATTCTAGGCGGTCTTCTAACCTGTCCTCCCACTTTTTCAGCTGTTGGTTGCTGTGTATTCAGCTGCTGGCTGCTCTGTATTCGCACATTTGTGCATTTTGATTTATAATATTATCTACTGGTTTTGGCAAAAAAAAAATAAAAAATGCTTTTGATGGGAAATCGAAATGAGGTTTTATTAAATGTTTTATTAAGAGATTAGCCAGCAACTATATATATATATATATATATATATATATATATATATATTATAATAAGTAGCCCACTTAATTAAATTTGATTATTGTAAGAATTTAGAGTTTATATGAAATATAAATCTAGATGGGACCTTTTAATGTTAGATATCTCTTGTAAATACTGGACAATATGTACCCTTCATCTCGTCGTTAGATTGATCAGAACTTCAATCTCAACCATATATTTAATGTACGAGACAAAAAAGTATGTTGACGGTTCCGTACACCTTGTACATGCGACACATTTTTACCCTTACTTTAATTTTGATTAAAATTTATTTTAATTCATCATAAAGAAAAATTATATTTAATTTGAAGATCGTGTATACAAAAATAATAAAAAATTGCGGGCCATAAAATTTAAACAATGTCAGAACTGAAGATGATACAACCATCTCGCCGCCATTCGATGCCGCTGGCCACCACCGCCAGCCGCCGCTCGTCGCCTGTCTATTGGTGATGGATGTCAAAAAATCATATATCATTTCAAAGCGCTCGTCTCGATCTTTTCAACGACATATTTAATTTCATCATATGATACCTCAAACTTTATTAAATAATATTTAAAGTTTTGAAGAAATTGAATAATTGTGGGCTAAATTTCGTTCAATGTCACTAGAGATCCAACCGTTGGATTATAAAATATATATGTATGGAAAGTCATTTTCACAAAAAATCCAACGCTATCTTCCGATCGTCGATCTGACCTTTTAATAGTCGAAAAACGTCGATGAAGTTATCAGATTTTTAGCCGAGTGTGCCGGCAGAATGAAGAATTCATCCGGCAGCTCGATTGTTCAAATTTAATGGGTGAACATTCATTTTGTTTCTCTTCTCATCTGCAACAAAAGCTGTTAATAATTTGATGTTTTGATATCATATAGTTTTCAATTTGAAGTGCCAACTTATACGTTTTTTTTTTCTATATTTTCTGCATATTATATGAATAATTTAACACTTTTTATATACAATATAATATAATTTATAATCTTATTTTATTAAGATTTTTAAGTAAGAACATGTTAGTAGTTAAATAAAAAAAAATTTGAATTTTCATGTTTTTTTTTAATTGGGTAAAAAGATAGCATGTCAACATTAACAAGAGTAATTATTGTTATGCATGTACGAGACATGCACAAAACGTACCCTAGAATGACCTAAAGTGCAGTACAAGAAAATACTGAAATTCTAATGTAAAATTGCAACGTAAATATATTTCAATAGAATCCCATGACAATTCCAATAGATATTCCAATGCTACTATTTACGTCGGAATTTTCCAATGAATTCCAACAAAAATATTTCGTTGAATGAGTTTTCCATATGAATTTCCGTTGGATTTTGACGATTACAACGGTAGACTTTCCAAGAGTTGAAATATGTGTGAAAATAAAAATTTTAACAGAAATTGCATATTCCAACGGAAAGTTCTAAGGCAAAAAACCGTTGGAATAAATTACAGTAAATATGTGTGAAAATAAAAATTCCAACAGAAATTGCATATTCCAACGGAAAGTTCTAAGGCAAAAAACCGTTGGAATAAATTACAGTAAATATGTGTGAAAATAAAAATTTCAACAGAAATTGCATATTCCGACGGAAAGTTCTAAGGCAAAAAACCGTTGGAATAAATTACAGTAAGATTTTTCGTTGGAATATGACATTTTTATTTTTTTTATTTTTTTGTAGTGGTAGATGTAACTCAGTCCCACACCAGTCGTTCAGTCAAGGGAATAATAACCGTTGCAGACATACGGTGGACTCGCCCAAAAAATCCTCTGGTCAGCATCCCATAAACAGCTTCTCCGCAAGTCAAGCGCACACACACATACAAGTGAAGTGCAAATCCACCATTATCAACCAATTTCCTAATTCATTTCCTTCTTACTATTATTAGTAATGTTATATAAAGTCATGATCTCCCATGCATCATCTTTCATGCCCAAATCTCAATCAAACATTCATTCATATTCATTACCTAAGCATTCTCCATAGTTGATAACTTCCATTCAATCAAAGTCACTCCTCAAACAATAATAATATGGCGGACGACGACCGGGAGACGCTTGCCGGCCAGCGCAACAAATCCTCGGTCGTCGACAACATCTCATGTTGCTTCAACGGCGCCGGGCCCCGCCACCACCGGCGAGCCACCGTGGACGAATCGTCCTTCTCGTGTGCGTGGTTCAAGCCAAAGTCCGGCGACTTGCCGGAGGCCAAGGGCAGGCCGTCCGCCGGCCGCCGCGGATTCTTCTCGTCCCGCGCGGCCCGCCACCGCCGCCACTCGTCGGCGGACTTCAGCTACGACCCCCTCAGCTACGCCCTCAACTTCGACGACGACAACACCGGTTCCTCACCTTCCGACTCCGACTGGCCAGCCGTCAGTTTTTCTGCACGGCTGCCGCTCTCGCCGCCAGGGACACCGCCGCTGGGGTTCAGCAGCCACCGGCCGCCGCCATCTCCGAGGCCTAGTGAGCTGAGGAGGGGATTCGAGGCACTATCGGTGGGAGTGAAGGAGATGAGATCAGTAGGCGAGCACAAGACCGTAAGGAACAACAAGAACAATAACAATGGCAACAATGGGAATAAGAGTGATAAGGAAGTTGAATCTCCTATGGGAGTATCTCCAAATAAGGAGATCTTAGTTGAGTTATGTTGATATGAGTCAAACCATAATATGAACTTTTGCACTACAGCATGAAAATTTTGATTCACGGTGTCCTTGCATTTGTTTTTCCTTTTTTCTTTTAGCGAGACTGATGTTGTCGAGACCAAAACTTGGACAAATGATTGATTATTTTTGTGTTTCCTTGCAGCATTTTATTCATTTTTGTTCTTCCGTGCGCTTCCAAACGCGGATGCATTCGAAACATTCATATAGCATAACGAACTGAATCAGGATGGTTGTGTTCTTCTGAACACTAACATTCATATAGCATAAGGAACTGAATAAGGGTACCACATTCTAATTAATTCATAGCTACTTCATAAAACACGGTTCTAAGACAAGCGCACACTACATTGCTGTTACGTCATTGCAGATATTTCCCAACACCAGATGATATAGAACATGTGACTAAGATGTATATTAAATACTAATACTCACTTATTCACAAATGTCGAAACATATTAGAAAAGGAAAAACAGGTCGAGTCTCCAGACACATATCTATTGTGACAATATGTTCATACCCATTTATGTGACTATAAACTTTATAACATCCAAATCAACTTACATCTAAAGGCCCAGCTCCCTATGCTTTTGTTTTTGGCACTTGCACATTTTGAATAAATTCCCACAACTGTCTGGTAGTCCTCGCCATAAGAATTAAGATCCATATTATACCGACCTCTTATTTGCCGAGTCCAAGTTCTACACACATAAAACCAAAATGGTATCCAGCATTTGAAGCAGAATTACGGCCCACGACTACATGCATCACACTTGATTGTTGTTGCTTTTTTCACCTGCATTGCTTTTTAGTCAAGTAAAAAATTGGGTGGTTTCCATTTTGAAAATCAGCAGACAAAAGAGAGTAAAAAGGATCCACATTCGGGAATACCTTTTGCGCTTGCTTTTCAAGGCCGTTGACGAAGAAGGATTGCTGTGCCAGTTCCTCTTCCTTTGATTAATGAACCAATTGTTTATCTGCTTCAGTTGCAATCCTGTCTCCTGAACCAATCTCGCCTTGTCCTCCTCCTAAAAAATCAAATATCAGATATAGGGAAATCAAAATACCTTACCAAATTAGTTTTTTGTAATAGCATTGATATTTTAATTAGTAATAGTATAATCTATTATGGTTTGGTCGAGTCGAGTTTCTGAAATATACTGTGGGATACGGCCACTTTGAGTGCGACTGCCACCAGGCTTTCAAGACTGAGGTAGTGTCACCCGGGAGTTTTCCTGCTCGTCTCTTGCGCAAGATTTCCTCCCGAATGTCCACAATTTTCTCCTTGTAACCCTGTTACAGGGGGAAGCAAAATAAAATATGCATGAGAAATGATAATTAGTAGGAAAAGAATAAAGGGCCTACTTCTCAAACAAAACTACAATTCAGAGGAAGGGAACAACGATGGCTATGGAAAGTAAAAATGACTTAAATTCGTCAAACAAAACAACAATTTAGAGGAAGGGAAAAAATGGCGCCACATACATTCTTGAGTTCATGTTTGAGCTCCTGCCTTACACGCTCCATCAAAGATCTCTCACTCTCTGTTGGGATCAAAGGACCAAATCCCATACTGTCAGCGCCGTCGAAGCTTCCATCGAACAAATGTACATCGCTATCATCTACCTGATCATCCTCGTCATCCGACATTGTTGCCCCTGTCCCTTCTCCTGGCGAAACTCCTGCTTCACATGAAACAAAAAGATAATTAAGAGTTAAATTTGAAATTGTTATGAAAACCTATTGCACAATTAGATTTTTGTTAATGTGTGATCAGAAGTATGTTAGAGCACACTAGAAAGACAGTAATGTGAAGTTCAAGTTTTGTTTCTCTATTTAATATGTTCACATTTATATCAACTAATTACCAACAATCTCAGTGCACAATTAGAAATGCATGAATGCATAGCTATATGTCTTCTAACATATGCACAATGAGATAATATATAGTTATACACTATTTGTATTAATTAATTAATAAGTTAATTCAAAATTTATTTAAATGGCTAAGATTTGGCCTCATGTTCCTATGTTAAGAAATGGTTCCCATTGAACCAAATCCTATACATATATATATATGTATATAAAGATATATATATAAAGATATAACTTTAGGAGAAGCTGGGAATTGCAACTAAAATCACCTGTTAAGCTCTGTAAAGACTGCTCGATCTCCCAACACGCCATAACTGCTTCCATTGCATGAACGCGTACATGCTGCTGCAGCTGGTCTTTGAATGAACATAGCAATAGCACGTAATGCGTCTGAAAATAAACAGGTGTGAATGGTTATGTTAAGAGCCTGTTATAAGTGGAAAATGATAATCATGATTCTTGAATCGATGATTAACCAACTACAAGCCAATATAAACCAGGATAAAGGCTACTAGGTCTAAAAACCGAATGACAATTATGATCATAATTCGTTTTCATGAATGGTTAGATTGAGGAAGTAGGAACAATTTTCCTATTGCCATTTAAGAGAAATACGGTTGCCACAATAAGCTTTGCAGTCGATACAATCGATCCTTGGAACTTGTAGAAATTCGATATCAAATACTTTGGAGCCAATTTTCAAAATCGGTTATTTAATTTTGTCGAGCCACCGGATTACTGAAGATGATTGGTCGTATAAGCTTTGGAACCCAATTTATTACGTCCCGTTTGAAGATAATGAACTAGAGCCCATATAAAAAATATGCACCATAGAGCAAAAGAGAGTCGACAAACAAATGATGAATGATGACTACAGGACAGTGAAGATTTTAAATGCAGAAGAGTAAATTCAGATCTGAAAGTGCATTAAAGGACAGTGGAGATTTCACTCATGATTATTAATATAGCTCTGCAAATGCAAATCCATCAAAACATCACCAGCCACAAAAGTACCGAAAAAGTAAGTTCTCACCATAAACTGGTCAAGTTCCTTGTCGTCGCCTAGATTCCCGCGCCCAAGGGCCGCGTACTTCTCGACCACCTGCTGCGCCTGCGCCAGCTGGGCGTCGATCCTCGGCAGCTGATCCACCGGCGTGGCAATCCTCAGGCACGCAACGTGCGCCGAGAGGAGCTGCTCGTACAGCGGGTGGGACAGGATGTCCGCCTTGCACCTCGCGCTCCGCCAGTCAACCGGCCCCTCCGCCGGCCTCTCGCTGCCGCCGTTGTTGTTCAAATCGGCGGACTCGTGGGAAATCGCGGCGGCCATCATCGAGTCGCCCGAGACCTGGACGACGTCCTCCCCGACGCCGCCGCCGCTCCTCTGCAGGATCGGGCGCGAGAGCCACTGGCTGCCCGCGGCGGCGGCGGCCGGCGAGGAGGAGGAGTCGGCGTCGGTGTGGAGGTTGAGGAAATTGGCGCTGCTGAGCCAGGCGGCGGGCGGGGGGCGGTGGGGTTTCCCGTCGGGGGCGAGCTGCTCGGGGAGGACGTCCCCCCTGTAGACGGGGGCGTTTTCCGGCAGGTGGTGGTCGGCGAAATGGTGGAGGCCCATTTCCTGGGACAAATGGTTGGGGAATGCCATTGGGGGGTCTTGATGTGACGACGATAAATACTGCTAATTTTGGTATTTTTTCTTCGGATATTATTTTCTCTCTCTCTCTCTCTTCTATAATGGAGTAGGAGGGAGAGGAGAAGTTCAGCAGCAAAATCAGTTGAAATAATTCAATCGCAGGCAAAACAATAGGATACCTTTTTCTTTATGGATAAAAATTGAGGTTCATGTACAGGCGGCGGGTGTTCTTGGGTGGGTGCTGAACGTCAACGACAACAGGTGATGAGAGATTGAGAAAAATAGTTCAAATTTTTGTTGAAATTTTAATAGCAACAACCAAAAAGCTTGCTCAATAAAGAATAAAGAAAAAAATTAGTATAAAAACAGGTCCATTATTTGGTAGGGAAGCATATTTTTGATTTTTTCTGTATGTGTTGGTGTGACTGTGTGTGTGTGTGTGTGCGTGATAACACAACAACAGGATAATTGGAAAGTTTGGGGGCCAACAGTTTAGTGAGAGAGGGGGAGAGAGGGAAGGGGGGGCCGTCAGAGAAGAGAAAAAGGATACATATATAGTGCTTGTTTTGTAGTTCTACCATTTTTTTTTTTTTTTTTTTTGGGCACCCTCAAAAAGAATTGTTGTAAATACCTTGGATATAAGATTTTTAGATTTTGATTAAATTTTATTTTGGTTTGAATCGATTAAATTTAAAAAATGTGCTGTGATTAGTTGTTACGGTATAAGCATTGAGCGATACACCTGTTTGAATGGCTAAGGGACCATTAATATGGATGTAGCGCATAGTTAAGGTGGTCCCCCTAATGCCGTTCAAGCAGCTAAACGTTCAGCTTCAACATTATTTTTTTGTTTTGTTATAAAATTAATTATTTATTCATATATATAAATATATTTTTTTTTTTTCCGAAACGATAGAGGATGTTATATAACTCAACAATAATAATATAAAGATACAACTCAAAACTGAATGAAATTTAGAATGAGAAGCACACCCACAAGATGGCTTAGAACCGCAAAATGAACATAACACTACAAACTACTCACAAAGAGAAGAAGAGAAGAAGAAGAAGATGTTCCGCCACTGCTGAGAAGCCTAGCTAGAACATTCTCCTCCCAAAATAACAAAACAAAAGTAAAGAAAAGAAACCTACTAGAACTAAACAGGAGACTTCTGGTGAGAATGAGAAAATTCAATCCAATCTGATTGTGCAGCCTTGATAACAATGTGTACTGGGATGAGGGAGTGTTAAAATATCCGTGCATTTTTTGTCTTCCAGAGCCACCACATTAGGTACGTTGTGAGTTGAATCACGTGTGATGCAATTTCTGAGTGACCCAGAAGACATAATTGATACCACCAGTGTTTGAAGGAGTTTGTGTATTGAGCAAGACCATCCCAAGAAACAAGAGCTATTTTCCCTTAATCTGCTAGCCCTGGAAGATAGAAATAAAACATGTTCAAGAGTTTCTATACCTTCACCACAACATCTGCAAGTATTGTCCACTTCCAAGCCTTTTTTCCTTAAGTTGTCCAGCACATGTAGGTCTCCTGAGAAACATCTCCATATGAAAAGCTTTACTTTTCCAAGAACCTCTAAGGACCAAGTTCTTTTGAAGGTATATGTCCATGCTAAGGATTGGGAGTTGTATTCTGGTTGGTCCATCTGTAGTACCTTATGTTGAACTAGGTATTTGTAGGTGCTTGAGACAGAAAGCTGTCCTTTTTTGTCCAATCCCCAGAAGAATCTGTCTGGTCTGTGGGGATTTAAAGTTTTGATGCTCAAAATTGCATTGCTGTCTTCAGGACAGAAAACCTGTTCAACTAACCCCTCGTTTCAGTGCAACCCATTGTCAGTTAATAGATCTTAACAAAAACAAGATGTCCTCTGGCAATTGCTAACATTTTAGGATGAGGTTTTGAAAAGTTTGGAATCCAATTCAGATCCTCAATCCTGGTATTAGCTCCATTTCTAATCTTTATTCTTAGCCATTTAGCAAAAACAGAAAGGACATTCATCCATGAATTCCATATCCAAGAGCCCTTTTGAGATTTAGTTGCTTGAAAAATGGAGGCATGAGAAAAATACATGTCTTTTAGGACTCTACTGACAAGCAACTCTGGTTGAGTGGTAATTCTCCACAGCTGTTTACAGATTAGGGCTTCATTGAACAACTTCAAGTCAAGAAAACCAAGGCCTCCAGAGAGTTTTGGAGTAGAAAGCTTATGCCAGCTTTTCCAATAATGTCCTGTAAATCCATCTTTTTTCCTAGCCCACCAGAATTGAGCACATAGTCTTGAAATGTCATTGCACAATGATACTGGTAATTTAAAACATGATATAGGAAAGATGGAAAGTGCCTGTATTACAGCCTCTATAAGAACTTCTTTTCCAGCCTCAGATAGCAGTTTGGATTTCCAGCATTGCAGCTTATTCTTGACTGAATCTAGCAAATATGCAAAGGCTCTGTTTTTTATCTGTCAATGGCCAGTAATAATCCCAAATATCTTGTGGATCTGTGTGATCGAATTGCTTGAAACACACTGCAGATGTCCAGTTGGAGGTGATTGAGAGTGTTCCTACTGAAAAAAATTGTTCATTTGCAAAGGTTCACAACCTGACCAGTGAAGAGTCTATATTTGTTAAGGATGTCCATGAGCACTTTAGCTTGATCAAGACCAGCCCTACAGAAGAACAAAGAGTCATATGAAAAAAGCAGGTGAGATAATGGAGGTCCATTCTTGAAAAGTTTGAGACCCTGTAACTGCGCAGAGTTAGTAGCATCAAGTATTAATGTAGTAAGGAATTCTGCCACAATAATGAATAGGTAGGGGGATAGAGGATCCTTCTTTCTAATACCTCTGGTAGGATTGATCAATCCACAAACTTCACCATTAATCTTGAAGGAAATGTAAGATGTTGTAATGGATGCCATGATTAATTTGACAAATTTTTTATGAAAGGCAATCTGAATCATGATATTTTCAACACAGATCCACTCAACCATGTCAAATGCTTTCATGAGATCAAGTTTAAGTGTAGAGTAGTTTTTCCCAGAAACATGTCTATTAAGGTAATGGAAAACATCGTGAGAAATTATCACATTGTCCAGTAGTTGTTTGCCCTTGATGAAAGATGATTGATAATCACTGATGCAACAATTTAAACTGTTATAGAGTTTGGTAATAAGAATTTTGGCAATAAGATTATATACTGCTGTGCACAAGCTTGTGGGTCTGAATTGGCCTAAGTTTTCTGGGAAAACACATTTAGGTATTAAGAAGAGGATTGTGTGATTCCAGTATTGAAGAAGTTGTCCAGTCGTGAAAGAGTTGGAAACAACAACTATAAATTTAGTTTTAATGGTATTCCAACAATGCTGATAGAATAAGACAGACATACCATCTTCTCCAAGGTTTTATCAGGATGAAGACTGAAGAGGGCTGCTTTGATTTCATCCTCTGAGACTGGATGCATGAGAGCCTGGTTCATGTCTGGAGTGATGTTAGTTGATATCAAATACTTTAATGAATCTCCTCCCCAAGATCCTTCTGCGGAGAAAAGCTTAGAGTAGAATTCTGAGATGTGATTTTGAATTGCTGCCTAAGTGTTAAATTGATGTCACCTTGCTGAGATTAATCTTGTTATTACATTCATTCTTTTCCTCTGCAAAGTATAGGCATGGAAAAACTTCGTATTCTCATCTCCTTCTTTGAGACAAAGAAGTCTGGACTTTTGTTGCCAATATAATTCCTCCAAATGGTGTGCTTTGTGTAACTCTTTCCTGGTGGCATCTCAATTTTCCCAATTGGAGCTTGCTCAATCTGATCTGATCTATTCTAATTTCTTAATTAATGAATCAATATGGAGTTGATTATGAGTTTTTAAATTGGAGCTCCAAATTAGAAGGGCCAACCTTGTGTTTCTAACCTTTTCTTTCAGTTGGTAAAATGGTGTGCCAAGTGTTGGAGAAGACCAAGCTTGAGATACAAGATGAAAGAAGTCAGGTTTCATTATCCATCTTTTGTCAAAGTGAAACCTCTTGATTTTCCTATCTTTAGCCAAACCAGGATCCAAAAGGAGCATAGCATGATCTGAAGAGCTTCTGACTATATTATGAACTTTGGCATTTGGATGAGTGTACAACCAATCCAGAGAGCCAAAAGCCCTATCAAGCTTCTCCTCAACCATGTCAGCTTCTTGCCTGTTATTGCACCAAGTGAATTGATAGCCCACCATTTTGATTTCTTCCATCTCCATACTATTGATGAAGTTGTTGAATCCCACAAAGCTGCTTTCAATCCTGGAAATTCTCCCTATTTTTTTCATCTCCTATGATGAACCAAGTAGACCCCCACTTGCTTTTTTCTTGTTCCAAGGTGACTCACTGTTCTGCTCTTTAAACTCTACATATACTAAGGTATACAAAAATGCCCCATTGACTGGATTCTGAAGATAACTGAAAATGAACAGCAATGAAGAAACTTGTACTATAAATTTGATGTATTGTAACATTTGGACTCCACAGGAGAAGAAGACCTCCACTTGTACCTCTAGGATCAACTACTGCCACTCTGTTATCAAATCCTAACTTTTTGTTGACTAATTTAACAAATCCATTTGATTTTTTGGTTTCAGAGAGAAATATAAAAAGTGGATGGTGAGACCTTATTGTCTATCGGATTTAGAAACTGTAGAGGACCCACCCAGCCCTCTACAATTCCACACCGCAGCTAAAATTGTGCACTTAGGTGCCACTCCAGGCTGGCCACCCCCACCTTTGAAGAAGAGCCTTTAAGTTTCTTTGTATCACCTTGATTAATGTCATGATCCTCCTCAGCTATGAATGTAAGTCTCCTTTTGTCCTTTGCTCTAGTTCTCTTACCGGGAGGAGAAGATATAATGAGGGAAGTGTGTTCACCCTGCCTTTGAAGTCTGACTTCTCTGTTGCCAGTCCTTTTCCAAGTTTTAGGAGCCTTAGCAGATTCTATCTTGTACTTGTTCTTGAAGAC